ACTCCTGACTGGGGAAAAAAAAAGGGCACCAGCTTGGACTGGTGCAGAGATCCTGGACCTCATCAAGGTTGGGGGGGTGAGGAGACCAACCTCCAGGATCTTTGCAGCATAAGGAGGAATGCCAACATCTACAGCCAGATGGCTGCCAGCCTGGTGGCAAAAGGATACATGCGGACCCTCGACAAGGTCCACATGAAAAAACAAAAAAACAAACAACCCCAGCAGGTCTATACTAAGGCCAGGGAGCAAAGTTCATATTCTGGGGTGGCTCCTCACACCTGATGCTTCTATGAGCACCTGGATGCCATCCTGGGAGAGGGGTTGGTCACCTCTGTGCCCCTCCACCATCATCGAACTCTGGCCAGGACACACCTGGCATCAGCCACCACAAGGGCAGGATTGGAGAAGGACAATGATGTGGAAAAGGAGCAGCAGATTCTCATCAGGGAGTTGGTTCCCCCTCACAGGAGGTCTCCCAGGGCTTGAACAATCCCAGGGAAAGCACTTCAGGTGAGTTCCATCACTTTTCCTATTCACTCAGAGGCAAGTGGCAGGCTGCGAGAGGGGCTTGCATGATCCTCACTCAGCCTTTTTGGCCTGAGTGTTGCACAAGAGCCTGTGCACATGGAGCACCAGATTGGAGCGCTCAGCTCCATGATGTTCTCTCAGAAACTCCTCACTCCTTCTCACAAGGTTCCTGCACAGGCCTGCCTTACTCTGGCCTCCATGGTGGGACATGAGAAGCCACTACTAAGGAGGTTGGGGTCACGGAAACACAGCAGTACCACACATGGCACATGATCATGCCTGTACTCAGGGAGCATCCACTCCCTGTCAAGTGCAGCAATGCAGAGGAAACCAATCCTGTGCATGGGAAGCTGCTAGAGGAAGGAAGAGGAAGGGACCCCAGTAGCACTCCCTGGCAAGCAGCCTCTGCTACTTACACACACCCCTCCCCAATCCTCCCCTCCTGCCTCCAGCAGGCAGGGATACAAGTCCTTTCCCCGTGCGACATTGCCAGACCTGGCACATGCGTGGCACAGAAAGAGGCTGAGCCGTCCTGTCCCCTCCTCCTGCCTGCAGGCTCCTGGCCTGGCCAGCACAGTCACATAGAATCATAGAACTAGGAAGGACTTCAAGAAATCATCGAGGGCAGTTCCCTGCCCTCACGGCAGGACCAAGCACTGTCTAGACCACCCCGACAAATGTCTGTCTAACCTGCTCTTAAATATCTCCTGTAATAGAGATTCCACAACTCCCCTGGGCATTTTCTCTGTGTTTAACTACCCTGTTAGGAAGTTTTGTTGTGGAGCACACAAGTGGCCACCACCAGGTAAGGGAAAGTTTCGCACAGAGGTCCAGGCGGACGAGGAGACTCTGAAACCTCCACTTTAGACAGCCAAAGGTGCACTCCCACTATGCAGCACCTGCTGAGCCTGGTCCTGAAGCTCTCATTAGCAGAGTCCAGGCTGCCCATGCAGAGTTCCACCAGCCAGGGGACCAAAGGGTAGGCTGCACTGCCCAGGATGCACATGGGCCTGTCCACAACTCTGATGGTATGGAAGGGGAAAGAAGAGCCAGACATGCGTCCTATGGAACAGGTCTGAGGTCCAGAAGTTGTGACTGTCATGTGCCTTCCCCAATCAGCTGATGTTAATGTCTGTGAACTGTCCCTTGTGATCCACCAGGGCCTGCAGCACCATCGAAAAAACCCCTTCTAGTTTATGTAGTCAGAGGCCCGGTGGTCAGGGTCCAATATGTGGAGGTGTGCCCCATCTCTGCTCCCCTTGCAGTCGGAGAAGCCCATAATGAGGTTAATGTTCCCCAGAATGATTACCTTTCACAGAAAGATGAGGTGACTGCCCACAGGAGCACAACCCTACCCCAAAGAGAGGTAGCTGTCTAGTGTGGCAAGCTTCTACAGTGTGATAGCAATGTGCTTCTGCAGGGGATGGCAGGTTGCAGACAGGTGTCCTGTTGAGCCCCTTGCAGAGCTCCAAGAACGTAGCCTTCCGCATGAGGAAGTTCTGGAGTCACTGCTGGTTATCCCATCACTGCAGGATGATGCGATCTCAGTCGGGACTGGTCTCCCTCTGCCAAAATGGTGTTGAATGGTCTGCAAGGGATTGAGGATCATTTCCTGCAGCAGGAGTGCCAGAGTAAAGAGGTCCTCTGGTCCAGGCTGGCAGTTGTCCTGAAGCAGCACATGGGCAGTGTGGATGAACTGTGCCACCAGGTATAGCAGGAGGCCCATGACCCTGGCACTGCTTTGCAGCAGCTCCAGCTCCATTTTGGAAGTGCTATGGTATCCACAAGGGCAATCAGAGCACGTGATGTGAGTTTGGTGTCCCACAAGGGGATAAGCAGTGGAGGGCTTCCAGGGGCTTTAAATCCGATGCAGGCTCTTAGCAGATTGGACACACTATTTCAAAATAGTTATTTTGGGAGTTATTTCAAAATAATTCATTTTGAAACACTTACTCTGGTCATCTGAAGTGGGCTGTGCCCACAAAAGCTCATGATACCATCTACATGTTTTGTCAAGCTATAAAGTGCTACCAGATCATTTGATGTTTTTTCCTTGCATAGGCATGCCCTAAAACATTACAGGACCATTTGTTGTTTTTAGTTTTTTTAGTTACAAACTAATATGGCTACCCTCTGAGATTTTGAAACATGTATTGCCTTCACTAAGGTACTGTAACAAATTCAGAATCCTAAAAATAATGTGTGTGTTTTGGTCCTACAAGACAATTTCAAACATGTATTTTTAAGTCTGGAGTATGCACTCACCCTTTCTTGGGCCAGCTTTTTCATTTCTTCCTGTAACTTGTTCAGGATGTGCAGATTTGGCTTGTTCTTTTTGGCATACTGCTGAAGTTCTATCACACTTTTATCAGAGGTTTCCTGCATAATGTTACCATTAGTAGCAGCAGAAAAAGAGGTTACTCAAAATCACCCTCTTGTATTTTTAAAATAGTCATACCTCACAGGTTTAAACAAAGTTTTCTTTTTTTCCCTTTTGTGAAAAGGAACATGCAACATGTCAACTGTGTATTATATGCTAAAATTTGGTTTTATCATTTCAGTCTACAGTAAACAAGTGAGCTTGAGAAAATGTTGCATCTCTAAGGCTATGTCTAGACTGCAGAGCTTTTCTGGGATACCAGAGATCTCAGAAAAGCTCTGCCGCATCCCCCTTTCCAAAAAAAAAAAAAAAAAAACACACGTGTTGGAAAAGGGGACTCGTTTTTTCGGCATCCCTGTAAACCTCATTCTACGAGGAAGAAGGGATGTTCCAAAAGAGGGTTTTTTTCCTGAAATTTTGGGAAAGCCTTTTTTGGAAGTAATGGGAAAAAGATACGCGAGTGCTGATCTTATGACTATTAATTAAGAAAGCAAAATATCTTTGAGGGTTACTCATCAACACAGGTAAGTAACATGCAGTGAATAAGAGTATTAAGGTTAGAAAATTATGCCAAGAAAAGGAAGAGAATGAGTAGTTTGTGGTTTTTAACTGATCAGTATCACAACAGAAAAAGCAATTTTTATAGGGTGGGTTACAAAGCAATCACAAAACCATGTTTACCTGTTTGACCATCTTGCTATTCTCTCTACCATACATACGCAATAAAGAGCCCCAGTTTTTCACATGTGGGTGCAGAAGCTGTAGGATCTTCTGAGAAGCTAGCTGTTTCCCAACTCTCTTGTTTTTACCTGTACAAATAATGAGACAAACACCACACTAAAACATAATATAGATGTTTTAAGTACATGTATACCTAATGGGATCAATGAACTATTATATTCTTAATACTCTCCATGATTCATACAGTAAAAAATAGAATAAGCATGACAAAATACTCGCACAAAACACTAGGTAAGTGTTGAGGAGGGAAGGAAAAAAGGAAGGATGATTTGTAAGCAAGCATAAGAAGTAAAACCAAGAACAGTACTTACACCAGCCTCGCACTGTGTGCTTGCCACAAGTCATGACATATTCACTCTTCTGATTTTTACCAGGAATCACTTCAAACTTGATAGATGTGTCACCCATTCCATGGTTTCTTAAGCACAAAAACTCTTATTGTAAGGTTAATCCAGTAAATTGCATAGAAAGACCAACTGAACTGAACAATGTAAGGTTAACATAGTTGAACCTGGACTTAGCAAGCTAATAGTCATTTTTTTAGTCCAGTAAGAGGATTTTACAGCTTTGGAAAAAAAAAAAATCAACATTACTGCCTCTCAAGTGACAAAGCAGACAGAGTAAGTAGCCGGCCACACTGATTCACAAGTGGTAGAAAGGTGTTTGCTGGTGTCACAATAGGAGCAGATGGGGAAGAAAGGAACAGAGGTGGTACTTGTATTCTTCCCAACTTTAGTGCATCTAACAAAATACAGAATGTGCCCTTCAATAATGTTTTTAGCATGATTATGATGAGATCCTACCTTTTAAGGCACTCATGGAGAATCTGATAAGGAGACAACAATCCAGCTTTACTGGTCAGTTCATATACCCGTGAGTCCTCAATACTGATATGGTTAAAATACTACAAAAGAATCGAGAGATGTTTTTCAGCTACCAGTAAAACAAGCACAATAATGGAATTGTCCTATTGCTCAATTTCTTCTATATTTACATTTGAAAACATTACGTTTCATATTTTTTAACACAGAACATCTACACGAGACTGACATCATAATTTTTGTAGAGGCCCTATTTTAGCAAGCAAAACTAGAGACCATTTCCTTTACACTCCAATACAGAATGAGAAAAATTTCTTTTTCTTCTATGTATACTGTCCTTATTCTTTTAGTTCTTCTATTTCCAGACAATAAAATGTAATTCCCAGTTCCATTTATTGGAATGTCATACATAATGAAAACATGGTTACCCAATGCAATGAAACTCTCAAACTATGATTTAATGCTTTTATATTACATTTGAAAAAAATCATTGGACTGTCTCCTATAGTAAAATAAAAACTGGTCTTGTCTCAGTTTCTTTTTCCAGGTAATCTGTTCTGTATGGTTACGTCTACACTGGCCCCTTCTTTGGAAGGGGCATGCTAATTTTGAACTTGGGAATAGGGAAATCCACGGGGGATTTAAATAAACATGACTTCGAAGTAGGAATAAGAGATCCTCCGGAAAAGGGCTTTATTCCGGAGGATCGCGCCAGTCTAGACGCTTTTTTCCGGCTTTTCCCCAAGCCGGAAAAAAAGCAGCGGTCATGTTTATTTAAATCCCGCGGGGGATATTTAAATCCCCCGCGGATTTCCCTATTCCCAAGTTCAAAATTAGCATGCCCCTTCCAAAGAAGGGGCCAGTGTAGACGTAACCATACAGAACAGATTACCTGGAAAAAAGGACAAAAACAAAGTGGTCAGTGATAACTGTTCTTTAATTTCTTCTCATGATTTACTGTTTAGCTATTGAAAGAACTCAATTAGGCAAAGAGTATTTTCACTATTTTAAAATTCAGATACGTCAATCAAATAGTCCTGATGTTATTCCCCCATGCCATCTAATACTTTCTGAAATTTAGGATTTGTAGTACAAAGTTTCAGCTTGCAGATTAAGATTTACTAGCCTCTTACAGTGAAGTGCTACTATCCACTTTCCTAGAGAATACAAGCTCAGCGAACTCCAGCAAAGTGTTCCTTCTAGTGTGAATTATGCTCTATTTAAATTAAGTAAGTATCTGTCTCTGATTTCAAGACACATTTTTATGGATAGTTTAAAATAATGGGCTCACACCCACAAGGAATGATATAGGAGGGCAGACCACGAGAGTGACGCCCAAACATGTACAAACAAGGCCAAACATGCCTTGTGTACTCTGCATGTTCCTCACTCTGGCGGTCCATGGAGAACAGGATCTTTATGTTTTCAGCTATCTCTATAGAAGTTTGGGGTGTTCTTTGCAATGCAGAGCCTGGAGGCCCTGCATAAACAACTTTAAAACAAAGAAGAGTGAAAATAGGATCCAAGCTCAGGGACTGGAACCACCAGCAAGCGAGGAACATGCAGAGTACACAAGGCATGCCAACAGTGTCTAATGAGGTAATGGAGAATGAAGTGGCTAGATAGTTTAATCAAGTGCCAGGAGATCCAGAAAACAGAGGAAAAAAGGCAGGTGAAGTAAAAACAAATATACCAGAGGAAATGAAGATCAAAATTAGACTGTGATCAAAGGTCAATCACATTAGATGATATTAAATATTTAAATATCAATTTGTTGCATGCAATTGTGGTAGTTGCCACAAACACGTTATACAATCATAGCTGAAAATGAGTCACATGACAAACAATAGTCTACACTGAAAGAGTTTGAAAATTTCTGGGCTTATTAACCCACAAGATGATGCTTCCAATGCACACACTGGTTAAAATATCCAAGGTCTGAATAGTGATGTACATCTAAGATTGTATTAAAAAGGTTTTGTGTACATTTTTATTTATGACATGGTTTACACTTCTATGAGCTAAGCTTAAACTACATGCACAGGGCTAATCAGGAGAGTTGAGACAAAACAGGCTTAGCAACTGAAGTTTGGTCTCTTTCTGAAGCCTCTACACATTTCCCCAATGTGCTTTTCAGCAAATCTAGAAACGTGAAAATCAGTAACTATCATTTCACAAATAATCAAGAATACAAGGAAAAAAGACCTCATCCTTATTAAGACACTCACTCTCAAAATTAGTCTAATACTGACATGGTAAACAATCTAGAGGTGGGGAGGGGGGAACCTAGGACCACATACAGGTACCATCTATTTGATAATATAAGGAAAAGCACAAATACTGACACAGTTTCTTCCTGAAAACATGACAGACTCTGCTTCAGTAATTAGGACAGTCTTTTATAATACTGAATGAGGAAAAAAACAAGTAGTACAACCAAAACAAAATAACGTTTCATGTTTAGGGCTGGAAAAATCCATTTCTCCATGACAAAATCCCAATTTGAGACTTAGCAGAATGTAAGTTTCCATTGACAGACTCCCAAATGTTAAATGAATTGAAATAGATTCATTGTTGTCTTATGAAGTCAAACTAATGGCTTCAATTTGTCTTTTTGCTATTGCTTCACTTTGCTCAAAGCCACTGAGTGAAATTAACCCACACTCTGATTAAATTTCATGTCTGCCATTCAGAGGCTTGTATATCCAGTAAAACTGTTAAGACTGTTAGCTTTATGAAGTTTCTGAGCAGCATCATAAACAACACTAAAGAAAGCACTATAAGTTACCCATAGGTAAGGAAAGCCCACAACATTGGGTTGAGAGGTAAGGGAGGTGAAACAACAAAAAAAACAGACTCATTTCGCATTAATCAGGAGACTAATCAGAGGAATAAAGCTGTCAACTTTATCCTTTTTCAGCAACTGAAACAGATTTGGGATAGGCTTCAAAATTTATGAGAACTGTTATAAAAGATTACAGATCCCTTTTCTCCTCACCAATAGACAATACTATGGTAGAAATCCCAGCAGCCAAGGCTTGGAGCGATCTGCATTTCCCACGAGTACTGATACTGGATCTTGCCACAGAATTCTTCATTCTCCTTGGCTACATCTAGACTGGCATGATTTTCCGGAAATGCTTTTAACGGAAAAGTTTTCCACAAATGCTTTTAACGGAAAAGAGCATCTAGATTGGCACGGATGCTTTTCCGCAAAAGCACTTTTTGCGGAAAAGCGTCCATGCCAATCTAGACGCGCTTTTCTGCAAAAAAGCCCCAATTGCCATTTTCGCGAGCGGTGCTTTTTTGTGCAAAACAAATCTGAGCTATCTACACTGGCCCTTTTGCGCAAAAGCTTTGCACAAAAGGACTTTTGCCCGAACGGGAGCAACATAGTATTTCTGCAAGAAGCACTGATTTCTTACGTGAGATCGTCAGTGTTCTTGCGGAAATTCAAGCGGCCAGTGTAGACAGCTGGAAAGTTTTTCCGCAAAAGCAGCTGCTTTTGCAGAAAAACTTGCCAGTCTAGGCACAGCCCTTTAGTATAACTTTTTCATTATAAGATTGTTACTATTAATGTCAACCCTTTAAAAAAAATCTTCCATCTGAATGGGAGACTGGTTACTATCACTATGTAGCTACCATTCACAAACCCTCTGACTTTAGGCATCTAATGCTTTTTAAATTAAGATCATTTTACAACAGTAAATCAAGTTAATTTATACCTCAAGTTCTTCACTGTCTTTGGGCTTTTCCTCAGAGGTCTGTTTAACAAAGTCAGGAATGAGGATTTCCAGTGTAGCTCGAGCTGTGGGAAATGATTTAGTGTCTTGGTTACACTTACTGTATTCAAAGATTATACAAAGGCATGTTTATGAAAAGGAAACATCATTTCTAAAAGAGGGGTAGCTGTGTTAGTCTGAATCTGCAAGAACAACGGGAAGTCCTGTGGCATCTTATAGATTAACAGATTTATTGGAGCATAGACCCACATCATCATATGCATGTAGTGGAAATTCCAGAGGCAGGAATTAAAGTGGTAGCATGCCCACATTGGGGGAGTGTGAAGGACATCAGGACTGGAGTGAGAGAATGTGCATCAAGGCCCCAGCCACCTTCCACAGGACTGGGAAAAGGAGCACTACCCAGTCCGTTTTCTTCCCCAGCTCTGCTCTGGTCCTGCCCACTGCTGCATACCCAGCCTCTATGTAGTATACAATTTATTAATTTATAAGTAGTACAGAGTCTAAGCACTGAATGTTATTTAAGAAAATATATTTAAGCTTACTGAGTTAACATTACAAGACTTATCACTATTAAGCTATATCTTAACAAATAATTGTTTTGGGCAAAAACCTGAGTCACAAGAGAGATCAAGTCAAATTTTCAAAAAATGCTCAAATTCCATTTTCAAAAGTTACACAGAAGCTCAAGTCACTAGAACTAAGGCCAGGTCTACACTCAGAAGTTGTGTCAACATAGCAATATTGGTTAGAAGTGTCATGCTTTTATGCTTGCTATGCCAGAAAAAGCCTGAGCGCACATGAAATTATACCAGCCAAAAGAAGAAAAAAAAAGTGCTTTTGGCAAGTGTAGTTTATTTCATTTGCCAAACCAGCTTAAGCTGTCTCAGCAAAAAACATATTTTGCTGGTATAACTGCATATGCATTAAGAAAATTGTGTTGGTATAGCTCTAAAGTTGGCAATGGTTAAAGTGTAGCCAAGCCCTTAGTTTCCTAAATCACTTATTCATTTTTCAAAATATTTATCTTGTTTTTGTTCTGAACCCTGAAGCCAGATTCTGAAAGCAGCAGCAGGCCTCTAAAACATTCAAATATAGCAGGGGTGGGAAATAATTTTTTGCCAGGGACCACTTCAAAAAATGTTTGAAGTGGCCCTGGACCTCTCCGGAAGGGGAGAGGCTTCAGACAGAAGAGGCAGGGCCAGGACCAGGATGCTTCTGGGCTTGCCCATCCACAGACCACTAAGCACCCATGCCCCTGGGTGGTGGAAGGAGACTTCCAGTGCTCCCCCACTGCCAGGCCAATCAGGGCCTGGAGGCAGGGGAGCAAGCGAAGCCTCCTCCCGCCCTGCCAGGAGCGTACGGCACTTCTAAGTGCCTCACGTTCCTCACAGGGCAGGGGTAGGTAGGAGGAATCTTCATGAGCGCCTCCTGTCCCCAGGCAAATCAGGGCTTGAGGGCGGGGGAGCATGCAAAGTCTCCTCCCGCCTTGCCTGGAGTGTGTGGCACTTCAAAGTGCCGCATGCTCCTGGCAGAGTGGGATGAAACTTTGTGCGCTTCTCCTGCCCCCAGACCCAAACTGGCTTGGGGGCAGAGGAGCAGCAGGGCCTCTGCAGACCAGATGCGGCCCACGGAGGCCCTTTTGCCCACCCTTGAAATATAGGGATGAATACAAAATTCTAAAGGTATCTAAGCCCCACTCATGCAGAACTTAGCCCCACTTATTACAGAACAGACTCAACATCTTAAACAACTGAAAGCAACTAAAGAGCAAATGGTAGCCTTTGGAAATTGGAACAGCGAGTTATGCTAGGTTATGCTACCCAAGCAAGAACAAAATGACCAGAGAATTTTACAGAAGACCAAGAATTGGGTAATTATATTTTACCTTTCACCCTCTCTAGTCTAGATATTAAAACTCATGAAAACATATCTTTTCTAGAAAGAGAATTACTTCATATCTGCTAATTAAAGATACAAGATCAGTATTATGTTAAGTGTCTGAAACTTCTCCAGTGTTTCTATATCCTGCAGTACATTGCTTGAGACAGGATTCACAGTAAATTTAAGTCCCTAGATTAACTGTTAACCATTTTCAACAAAAATGTACACGAATACATCTCTCACTTGAGTATTGAAAAAGAAATTTAATCTTACTCATTGCTACACCAAACATCTCCTAGCCAGAGGTACAAGCAGACAAGCATAGGATTTCAATGGAAGTATATATATTACCAGCTTTATTCTTGGCGAGTTTTTTACTGCTTGCAGTTCCTGCCCCGTAAGTCACTCCATCAATAATCACTGAGGCTCCAAAAGGCTCACTTGGGTTCTCTTAAAATGGTGGACAAAAATGGTTTTCAAAATTCTAATCTTTTTAGCACAAACAAACATGAAAAAAAGACATACCCTAAAAATAAAATCATCAAGAATATGAGAATGCTCTATACTTGTAGATTTGTTCTCTCCTTCTAGGTCTTGAAAATAATGGTTCTATAAAAATTACCGCTCACCTGTTTATATATAAACATATGCATCTTTTCTCAGAAAGGAAATCTCAAACACGAAATCATTGTCATCACATGTACTTGTTCAGAATTAAAGTATACTATGACGGTGGTAGTAAATTATGAGCACTTTGTTTAGAATTTGTCAACATTCAGGTTTTAAATTCCATATATTTTGGAGTGACTTTGATTACTTTTCATGTTAAAACTCTATGATTTTAAAGTGAAACAGTATCATAGTGCTTTCTGAAGAATTAGAACTCTGAAACTATAAATGTAAAGTAACAATTTTTATTTGTTACCTAGAAGCTGAATATCAGATCTTAACATTTTAACATCTGATGTTGAAATACAAAATACAAACCTAATAGGATTAACTCTATGTATGAGAGAAGAAAGGGGTCTTATTTCAACAAACATGATCTAAATGGATTGTTTATAGGCCCACCATAATGGAAGGGCATGGAATTCTCTCTCCAATAATACATGTGATGAAACGGATTAAAGTAGTGACAAGGAAGCTTTATGCCTTTGGCGAGGCTGACTGGATTGTGGCTGGATGAAGCAAGGAAATCTAGCAACTATCCATAGAGAAAAGGTAGATGGTTCTGGTATAAAAATTGTGAACTGCTAATTATGAATAAATTAATTATCTGACAAGGGCAACTGAAAATTAACTCATTCAATGACAACCCTAAGGATGGATCCCAAGGATATTTCCTCCCCTGGATCTTTGTCCAACTTGGAGCCTCTCACATGGTAGATAAACTACATCAGTTTTCATTTCAGAGTATTTTTCCAGCTCAAAGATTTAAGTAACACTGCTTCTGTACTGCATGCACACACACCCAGATAAGGGAGCGGTAAAAAAGAAAATTATGCTACTTTTGTTGTAAAAACTAGAATTTGGCTTACAGTATAACTCTAAAGATGCTTACCAGGAAAGACTCCATTTCTTGCTGCTTTTCAAAATCCCCAAGCATTCAAATAATTATCAGTGAACAAAAAGTATTGTGCTCAAGTTAGAATTCATTACAAACTTACCACATTCAAAAAAATTGTAAACAGGGCGGACCTTTAGGACTCGTTGCATATATTCATGCAGTATGCAAACTTCAGACTTCCCATTGGGATTAATAACAAACTCTGGGAAAATAAAGACATTTCATTTAAGTAATTCCTGTCCCTTGAAAAACTGTCTAAAAACCTCAAAATTGCAAGCCACTGACATAAAAGTGTCCTGCTCACAATCATTTATTCAAATGCATGAATCTCAATATTATTATAAATGCAGATTACTCAAACATGAATCACTAAAAGTCCAGAGTCCATTTTAAGGGCCTTTAAAACAATTACTATGAAAATAAGTTTCTGAATAAATTCAGTCAAGATTGATAAATACATTATTCTAATGAATCTATTAAATATTCACTATGCTGCAGACACTGATGTTTCCTGATATCCAAGCATGGAACCACAGAAATACAGGGCTGGGAGGAACCATGAGAAATCAAGTTCATCCCTCTGTATTGTGGCAGTATCAAGTAAACTTAGACCACTTTTTAAAGGTATTTGCCCAATTTATTTTTAAAAACTTTCAATGATGGAGACTCCACTACCTCCCTTAGAAACCTATTCCATAATTTAAGGATGTTAAGGACTAGTCAACTATCTGATAAGCAAATGCTGAACTAAACAGTCAGTCAACTAGTTGATCTCCCCCTCCCACCCCCACTGCCTCTATCACAGAGTTGCAAAGGGGCGGAGGGGAGAGAGGTACTTCAAAGCAGCAGCACAGCACAGTTGAGCAAGGGCTCAGCTGTGTGGCATTTCAAAGGGGCAGCCACCACACAGCTGATCCACAGGCTCAGATGCGCAGCGGCTGTCCCTTTGAAATGCCATCTCCACGTTTCAAAGGGGCAGCGGTATGGAGCCCGGGGTCAGCTGGGGACTCCCCAACTGACTCAAGATTCTAGGGAAATGCCATGTGGAGCATGCGATCAGCTGGGGACACACCAGCACTGCCCTTCTGAAACGCCGAGTCGGTGTTTCAAAGGGGTAACTGCCGCACAGCTGATCCCCCAGCTCAGCTATGCGGCACTGCCCCTTTGAGGCACCCCCTCTTCTCCCTGACTTTGCTGCCTCTCTGTTGGAGGCAGCAAGGGTGGGGGAATGGACTAGTTCTTAACATCCCTATAGTGTACAATGGCGAATGACTTTGGGTTTTGGTGCCTGATGTGAGTGCAGCCCAGAACTTCCTGCTGGCCTCAGGCTGCAGGTGGAGTTCTGCATTTCTCCTTTGAAATGTACAAGAGCCCCAGCTCTTGAGTACAATGTTGGAGTAGTCAATGGAAATTCCACTGGCTAGTCAAATAGTCAATTAACTACAATTTAACACCCTTAGCTTAACTAGACTTACAGTTAGGAAAGATCTTCCTAATATCGAACTTAAATCTCCCTTGCTGCAGTCCATTACATCTTGTCGTGCCCTCAGTGAACCTGGGGAACAACTGATCACTATCCTCTTTATAACAACAGCCCTTAATACACTGGGGGACTTACGTCACCCGTCAGTGTTCTCTTTTTCAAAACTAAACATGCATTTTTCAAACCTCTCCTCACAGGTCAGATTTTATAAACTTTTTATCATTTATGTTGCTCTCCTCTGGACTTCTTCCAATTGTGGTGCCCATAACTGGACACAGAACTCGAGCTGAGGCCTCACCAGTGCAGAGTGCAATAGGACAATTACTTCTTGTGTCTTCTATACAAAAGTTCTGTTATTACATCCCAAAAACGTAACATTCTTTTTCATACTTTATCACAGTGACAACTCATTCAGCTTGCAGTCCACTATAACCCTCTGATTCTTTTCAGCAGTTCTATCACCTACAGTTATATACCCCATTTTGTAGTTGTGCATTTGATTTTTCCTTTTTATCAAACTCAAACACCTCAAACCACTAGCAAAAAAGTTACTAACCTATTTTATCTGCTATAGGAAATGTATGTATGAATCCATTCCTTACCCTGCTGAATGTAGGCTTCAAATCCAACTAACAAAAGTGAAAACCATATACCCTATCCCCCAAAGTGTGCTTGCAAGAAGGCTGAACTTCTCATGGGAAGAAGCAAAATATTTCTCCGCAATGGAAACAGCTGTTTGTTGGACATAAAAGAAAAAATACACTATCCATGAACTATCCTAGAAAGGGAGACCACAGTTAAATTTAATTAAAAAGGGACTTTTGTTCCTTATGCATCCCCTGAAACAAAGGACTTCTTCATTTATCCCACTGAAGCAAACAGCTTTAGTGTCACCACCAGGAAAGGACTGTTTGCTTAATCATTCTGGAGTAGAGAAACTGCACTTTACTACAAAACAATGTCAGTATTACATTACATAAAAATGTAGAAGGAATTAAGACAACCATTTACTGAAAAAGTCTGATCAATAAAGAAATTGTTAACATAAGCGTGTTGCCTTGATATTTTTGGGGGATGTGAAGCCTGCCAAATGTTGAGATGCTGGATTATTCACCCCCACAATAGCTAAGGATTCTGCAGCAAATCAAATTAGAATTTAGAAGGACTGGCCCCAACTCTTAAAGGGATATGCAAGTTAAACTTTGGGTTTTTTTGTTTTGTTTTTTTAAATCAAGTTTCCCATGTTTTGTAGGTTTTTTTTTTTAAACAAGTTGTCTGTGCTCCCTTGCTGATGTTTGTAATTTTTTTTCCAGAAAAGTTGAAAATAGGTGGACCCAAAAGCAATATACATATATACTCATTGTAGTCCTCCCACTCTGCTCTCAGGGCAGAGACCTGCCTTATGCCTCTTCAGTTTCAGATTTGCAGCTGCAATTACTAGTAAACACTGCCTTAGACCAAGGAGGCAAAATGAGTGCTTAGAGAGAATTGGGCAGGGTAGGGGAGATCTTGTGGACTGGCCAACTTCCAGATCCAACTACTTCCTTTTGTGGGATCTAAGCCCCTTTCTGGGGCAGTTCCACAGTCTCAGGGAGACATGGAGAGGAAAGAAAGGCTGCCTAAACACTCACTGTGAATACTGATGCTAACCACTATAATGGTGCCTCCCCGAAGATTATAGGATCTTCCACAACTCCTTGAGGGGCAGCGGAGTCTAAAAACAGTGCTTAATATCAAAGGGCAAATCTTCTATGTCCTGCTGCACTTTAGGAGCAATGCCCAAATTCTGCAGCCAGGAAGCTCTTCTCATGGTCCTAGACAAGACCATATCTGTGGCTGAAGTATCTTGGACATCCCACGGACAGCAATGAAGTTTTAGTCACCAAACAGCCTTCAGTGACAAATGCCTGAAATTCTGCTCTTGAGGCTTCAGATAGCTGGTCTGCAAAAGTAAGACATGGCCATCCCATTCACAAAGCTGTATTTTAACAGCAATGCTTGCTGGTTAGCAATTTGCAAGGAAAAGGAGATGCAAATCTTCCTGTCCATCAATCTATTTGTTTAAGAGTCCTTTTTCTTGGGAGTGGACTTAAGCCAGTCTTGTTCACCAGGGCTTTGACCAGTGACTCTAGGCCCAGAAGGGAGTGAAAAAGCCCAAATCCCTGTATCAGAAAACAATAATGCTTCTTCATGAGCTTTATCACAGGTGATATTGAAGCTAACACATGCTCTAGAACAGCGGTTCTCAAACTTTTTGGGCTCCAGAGCCCTTTACATGCATAAAAATGTATGCGGAGCCCCAGGGGTGTGTGTTAATTGCCTCAGTTCAAGGTGATTCTCAATTGTGCTTTTGAAGGCTTTTCAGTTTGTCAGCCTCATGGAGCCCCTGGAGATGTCTCATGGAGCCCTGGGGAAGGCAACTCTCTCAGGGGCAGTCTACCGTCGGATATTGGTTAGCATTTTACTTCCCCTAACCCCTGCCTGGGCCTGAGGTGGACCAACAGTCAATGCCACAGACCTGGTTAGTGCTCTCGCCTTTGAGAGAGATGAGGAGTGGGCCTCCACTACCCATGGTTACCATGGGTGCTACAGCATGGCCAAGGCTCCCATCCCAAAAATGGGAAAAGCATTGATCCTGGTACCCACATGACTTCACAAACAGCCTCTGAATGCCAAAGTCTTAGGTTTCAGGGGGATAAAGATGGGACAAGTCCTGCGTATGCAAGCAATTGGTCTGATCAGTCCGTAGCTCAGAATGAGGAGAAAGATGGCACTGATGGTGGAAATGGTACCAAAGGCATCAAACATGCCTCCACTGTTTCCAGCACTGGAGGTGATATTGACTCTGAAGTGGCCATGTCAAAGTAAACCAATAGTGCCAAATTACAGGGCAGTGATAGCTACTAGAGTAACATTGGCAGCACTAGTTATAAGAGACATTAATGATGCCTGGAAGATCATTTGTACCAAGCCCAGCACCAGCCCCACTTCCACTCACTGTAAAAGGGAAACATCAGTGTACAATGTTGACAGACTCAGAGGTTCAGCTGCATGCCCAGGAAACAGGGATATTAAAGCCACAGCCCTGATAAAATTGGTGTAGGTTGGGACAAAAGTAGAAAAGATCCTTTGCTGACTGAGACACTACTACAAACAACTAATGCTTGCAACATTACTGGTACCAGATGCAACAGATGCCCTGGGGCTGAAAACTGTCAATGATATGGGGTCTCTGATTTTGTATAATACCAAGGTATGATTGATGAGACCTACTATAATTCATGCAGCATAGCCACCCTGTGCCAATCTGTGCCTCATTTGGAATAAGGAGATGAACTCCAACACATCCTGGAGCTGCCTCATTCAGTCTTATGCAACCTTGCAACATGGAATGACTTTCTCCATCTCTTTATAAAGGCGTCAGCTTCGCCTGGGCATAGCAAGCATTACGTGTGGGGATTGATGTTGGGAGACCACATCCCACACACATGATAAACAACGTTTAACCCCCATTGAAGGCATCACCAGGGAAATACTTAAACTACCATTCATACTAAATCAAACATTATGGTATATTAACTATACGCAATAAGAAAAGTCATTACAACTTAGGAACTGTGAAATGAAGGTCTGGCTCCAGCCATAGATGGTAAGAAGGAACTCTTTCCTCTACAGATATTTACAGGATGAACCTCTGAAATCTGACACTCTGGTCTGACAACCTCTGTGGTCCAGCAGGACCAAGATCTTGCTGGATCAGAGAGCTCAGTTGAGAATAAGGGTCAGGAGCCCTGTGGGGGAAGGTCGCCAGTTTGTCCCCCATTTTGATTTTTCCCTTTAAAGACTGTGGTCAGCCTCCCTGTCACCATGCCCTGCTTGGAAAAGTGTGGTCACCTGACCCTAAACTGCCTGACAACAAGGGGGCATTATAAAGGGTGTTCACCCACTCCTCAGAGCTCTCTGTATGCACTTGCTCTCTGTGCAACTCTGTGGTGTTGGAGCAACAGCCTATTTGTAGGGTCCTTCAGGCAGCAGCAATAGGCTGTATGGTTTGATAGACCACCAAAGGCAGGAGTCTGGCTGCTGCCACTTCAGAGACTGGAAGTCTCCCAACAGAAAGTGTATCTGGGACAGTCATCTGTGGGGAAGCAATCCTGTGTCCCACACCTGTAGCAGTTGCTGATGCAGAGGTTATTCATTTTAAGTTAGAGTGACAGCAGTAAGGCCAGGTAGCTGGATCTCTCTCTTCCATCATTCATCTTTCAGTCTGCACACACTACATGCAGGACACAAAAGAAAGAAAGAAGAGAGAAGACCCTTTACCCACCCGATCCTTCACATCGTTTTCTCCATCCCAAGACAGCCATCTACCTTCATCCTCGAACACCAAGATAGTGGTATGTCCTCCTATTATTTGTATTGTGCCCAGGTTTGTTTATTTGCATTGTGGGTTCTGGCTTCATGGCATTGTTTTGTTATGACACCTGGATTTTGTGTTTATTTTTTTACGTCTGTTATTGTTTCAGCCATTTTGTGTCGCACTTGACTAAATCCTGGTGACAGAAATACAGCAAGGGTGGAGCATCTGTGCTCACACTAACAAGATCAAGTCCTTGTCTAACAGCCCCTGCATGGGCTCATAACTGGAGTGCAGCCCAGGCCAGGATCACAGGGAGCATAGCCCCAGCCTGGGCTAATGGCAGTAAGGCCGGCACTCCAGAGCAAGGCTGACTGCCAGGAGTGGAGCCTTGATTTGCCTTGGTCTGGCAAACTCGCTGCTTAAGGACTGCTCAGGTCCCAAGGTTTCTGGACGAGGGAGGTCCAATCTGTTGGGAAAAATCTCTGGCTCCATGTTGCACATGCACACACCTAAGGGAAATACATAGCTGTATCTACTCAAAGAAGAAAAGTGTACACCATATTAAGTAGGGATGTTTGCATTTAATCATGTACACTCCGTGCAGCTTCATCGGGTGTCTGCATCACTCTGCACCAGGCAGTCCAAGCTGGTGCTCCAGTGCTGTGCTGCCAATCCCCCTTTCCCCAACATGGTTGGAGCCCCAGTATCAGCTTTCCATTGTGGGGTGCGCAGATCCAGGTAAGAACCCCTATCCCCCTCATGCCCAGACCACAAAGCCCCATCGCCCTCACACACACTCACCTCCCACCAAGACCCTGTATCTGCTCCTGCACCATCCCTTCCTGCCCAGATCTTGCACCTAACTTTGAGGATATGTGCAAGGCATCCAGAAGAGAATTGACAAGCCTCCCACAGCTTGGACACAGTGCCAATTAGGGTTGCTGAGCACAACAAGAATGGAATCTTCTGCTCTTTCTGGAGCACAATGACTCCTCTTTTGACTATGAGATCTGCAACTATGACGACCACAGAGGAGAGGAGCCACTTGTTGCCAATGAATGATACCAACTTGGGGAACAGAGTGCCTCCCCAACATGGGCCACTGGCACCAGGGGTCAAAGTGCTGAAGATGACCATCACTGGCTTGCCCATAGAACATACTGGGCCAAGAACTGGTGCTTGTGACCAGTGTTCCCTCTAAGTTGCACAGCAGCATAGCTTCAGAGGTGATTAATCATCTCCACTCGGTCAAACTCAGACTCCATGAGGCTGTGCTGCCCTGCAGCTTAGCAAGAACACTGCTTGTGACCTCTCCTGGCTTGGATAGCCTGATGCTTCAGGCCTAGAGATCAGCTGCAGGCCCTCATGGCAGCAGGTCAGAGACTGGACTGGACCCGTCTTGGGGCAGAAGTCAGCAGAAGCTCCACCAATTGGGTGCCCGATGGGGATCACTGACTACCTCATCTTTAGATCTGGTCAGGGAGCATCTGCTCTTAGCCTTATTTTTTGGAGGGGCACTGAGAGATGTGAGACCATTGCCTCACAGACAGCTGAGACCTGCACACCGAACCCAGAGGTACCAAGTGTCTCTAAAAGAGCCCTTCCTTAGCACTGGAGCACTGCATACTGAGCAAGAGGATCTTGGAGCCAGGTCTACTGTTCTAGGATCTGTCGGAAGCTGCAGTGCTGCCTCCATACACAAAACTCAGAGGTACTGTTCTCTGTCCTAAGGGTCCTGGGACAAAACTTTATAAAATCTTACAAATACTCCTTACAGTGATCCTCTTTGAGACACTTCAATAAAAAAGTGTGCAAGTCACTTCTGAGAACGAACCTGCTACAGTCCAAATACGGCTTAAAGCCCAGGAACCCAGGCATATCTTGCTGATGTAGAAGCACAGGGGAAAGGGAGAATAGCCCTCCCACAGGAATCTCATGAAAAAAAACACTTAGGCTAACCATAAACTACTAGTAAATTTAACTATACACACAAAGTGATACTGAAAAGCACATGCTGGATGAATCAAGTGCACACACAAATTTCAGCTTGCTGTCCCTGGTGATAAAAAGGAACTGGGAGGCGACAGGTTGGCAGGACCATGAAGGTGCAACTCCACAGATACGGCTAAGGGAAAAAATCTTCCAGGTGTCATGCTCCCAAAGTGTGCACACCTGATTGGAATTGACATGAACAAGAACTATTCTTTAGAACTTTCTGCTCAGTGTAACACAAATGTAAACTGCAAAATAAATATCAGTACACCATCGTAACATAAGACCATTATAAACCTACAGAAGTGGAAAAAATGAATGATTGAGCAAAAAAGATCAAGATCTTAATGATGAATTACAATTATCCAGGGTTTGACAAATTATAGAAAACCCTACTCGCGAGACAAAAAAGGGACTCGCCACCCCCACCGCATGACCCCCACCACACAGGTGTGCGCCACCAAGAGAATGAGATGACCAAGACAGAACGTTTGCTTCTGTGACAGGGCAGGGCCACTCCGCAGCAGCGAGGGCAACCCGCCCCGTACTTCACCAGCACCAACCTCCGTGTTGCACGGGGAGTGCAGAGTTTGACAATGGTCTGCGCCGCTTGCTCCTGTGCGGCCACCCAGCTGAGCAGAGTGCAGGGAGGCCGAGTCCTGGAACAGGAGCTGGAAGCAGGGGAGAGGCCACACACGGGCTTAGGGCAGAGCCAGAGTGCGCATGCGTCCCTGATGACAGGGGGAGAGGCACCAGAGCAAGAGAACGCCACATTCAAAAGGGGAGCAGAGGAGAGCAGAAGAGAGGAGGGAGGAGAAGGAGGAGAGCAACGGAGGGAGAGGGGAGAACAGAGGAATGAGCTAGAAGATGGTGGCGGGCAGAGGAGTGAAGGTTGAGAGCAGAGGAGAGTGGAGAGAGACGGGAGTCAGAGGAGGGAGACAAGGAGTGGAGCCGAGAGCAGAGTGTGGGGGCAGAGAACATGAAAGGAGAAGCGGAGGTAGGAAGCAGCTCAGGACGGGGCTCTTTAGTGTCTCCCCTCTGGGCTGCTTCCTACCTCCGCTCTCCTTTCACGTCCTCTGCCCCCATGCTCTGCTCCACTCCCCGTCTCCCTCCTGCCTTCTGACCTCCTCTGACTCCCGTCCCCCTCCGCTCTCACCCTTCACTCCTCCACCCACTGCCATCTTCTAGCTCACTCCTCTGTTCTCCCCTCTCCCTCCTTTACTCTGCTACATCTCCTCTCTCCTCTGCCTTCCTCCACTGCTCTCCTTTTGAACGCGGCACTCTTGCGCCGGCGCCTCTCCCCGATGTCAGGGACACACACACACACTCACTCTAGCCCTGCCTTATGCCCGAATGCGGCCCCGGCCTCGGTTTCAGCTCACATCCCAGGACTCAGCCCCCCTGCACGCCGTTCAGCTGGGCGGCTGCATGGAAACAATCAGTGCAGACCCCTGTTAGAACACCGTGCTGCCTGTGCAGCACATGGGTCAGCACCGTTGAAGTGCGGGGCGGCTCCGCCCTGTCACAGCTCGCCAGCTGCCAAAATCTACTCGCCATGGGCGAGTGGATTCGTTGAGCCCTGCATATATCTGTAGCTAGTGATTTTTAAACTTGCTTAAAAAAATCCTTGTCAGTAACTAACACTTTTTTCTTGACCACAGAACCAAGAACCAAGCCTATAAACTTCCAGTGCTTCCTCAAATCATGGGATGATTTAGAAAATCACTTTATATAATTTTTTTAGTCACATTTTAATGCTAAATCCAGGGATGTGAAAATAAATGGTAAACTGATGAGCAGGGCTCGACAAATAATGTAATCTACTGGCCTGTGGCAAGTAGATTACAACCTGGAAGAGCCAGCGCAGAGCGATCTGCCGCTTGGTGAGCCCTGCAGATGAGCCTGGGCTCACTGGCTAATATTCAGTTACATGCAGGCTCCCAGTACACACAGGGAGCTGGCTAAAAAACGTAGGGAGCCACCTGCCACCCCATGCTGCCTGACTGCCACTCCGCGTGTAACCATGTAATAACTGAAGTTCACTTACACACATTTTAACATCCCTAAGGTGGAACATGACAAATTTCAAAGATTCTAATTCCAACTAGATTAAGCTTACCTTTCTTTGTAGGTGCATCTTGCACAGACAAGGTAATGAGTTTCTGATTGGCTGGCAGAATAGGCCGCTCAGACTCTGCCTGCTTCCGCTTCATTTCACGGTTGAACTGTCGTCTCTCAGCCCAGGTTCTGAATTTTTTTACAGTAACTTGTTCAAAATCAAAACGCTTTTCAAGATAGTGCCTAAAATCCTCAAGATCTATGAAAAATAATCAAATTCAGTTATTCCTATACTTCTCCATGTGGATTCGCAAGGGTAAGGTAATTATATGCAGTTTGTACAGTTACTCATTCTTGTAATATTACACATGCAACTGTTGTACCTTTGCCTAAAAGACTGACCTCCCATTTTGCCCAACACTTTTTTTTTTTATATTTTCAATGTCAGTGCAGTTTTGTTGGTTCCCAAGGCATTACAAATATCAAAATAATTTCTGGACTTGTCCCTACTTAAAATCAATTTTAAAATGTAAAAACAATTTTCAGCTCAGTCTTAAGAAAAAAATAAAAAGTTCTACAAAATCCTCACCCTTGAATAGGCAGGACTGATTACGCAGGCCTTAAATAAAGGAAGGTGTATTTACCTCAGTAGTAAGCAAAGCCCTTCACACAGCAAGAACAAGAGAAGGCAATCTAAACATTGACAAACAGTAGCATGAAACATTAGGCATGTAAGCAACTAGTCGATAAGCAAAAGCTTACTGGATAGTTGACTAGTCCCCTCAACTAGTTGCTTCTCCCACCCTTATTGTCTATCAGAGGCAGCAAGACGGGGGAGGGGGAGAGCAGAAGCCAGTTCCCCCCCAGCACCATCTCCGCTGTGGGCAGGGAAGTAGCAGGTACCAGGCACGAGCTAGGAATCAGACACACCTCTGATTTTTAAGTGGATTAAGAGCCTGTCCACTCTTAATACATTTAAAAACCAGAGTTGCAGTGCGGTTAGTTCCTAGGCCAGGAAAATCAATTGATTAGTTGATAAAACTAAATTTAACATCTGTATGAAACCTCATTCAAGTTAAGACCCCAGTCTCCAATGTCACAGCTGCAAGAAACTTTACTGGGCGGTAACCTCAGGAAAACACGTTTCAAAGTGTGGCAACTATAAAGGAAAGAACAAAAAACCCACAAGTTCTCTCCCCTTATCCATCATTCACTTTTCCACTTACAATGACAAAAGAAACATCCCATAGATTCTGGGAGCAGGTCCTAACCTGAAACTTGGTCATCAGCGTCCCCAGGAGTGGGCATCTGTGTTAAGCATTTTAACTTGAACCCATCTACAGGCTGAGTCTCTTTCTAGTCCAGCACCCTTGGGACTTCACCAATGCTAACCAGAGAATTTGTTGGATAATGGGAGGTCAATATTGTCTAGCAGCATTACCAACACTAACACTGCTTACTGAGCTCTTACAAGACATTTAGAAGTAAGTTAGAGCTAAGTAATAGCACAGAACACAGAGCCAGGACTGGTGTCTGTGAACAAACTTTATGGCACCATGGGAAAGTTGGCCACACCCACAACAAGTGAACATCTTACTAAAATCATGCCAGGTCATGAATGTTGCCAGACCACAGGTTCAACCTGCGATTTGTTAAGTTTGGAAAGTGTTTTCTCTTTCTCTCATACGGCATTTAAAGTTGGCAATGGATGCACCTATATTCACTTAAAATCTCTTAGTAATTAAATAAGCTTGTTTTATTATTTAAATCAAAACTAATCAAGTATTGTCAACTATGTGAGAAACTATTTACGGTAGCAAATATATTGTACATTGATCCCTTTACAGGGGAAACAAACGTAAAATAACTATCCAGCAGGCAGGTGGATAGTGCAGAACACGTTTTTTAGGGAAACTCCTGGACTGGGTGTATATTAGATTAACCCTGCAACTAGAAACCAAGGCTGCTGGAAGCCAAAGTGTGGCAAGTGATTTTTAACAGGCTGCTGAGGTCAGAATTGCTGGACCAGGACTGAGGCTATATACAGAAACTCAGAATGTAAACCTGAATGCTACTGACTGTTTGTGACGCACATGGGTTGTGAGCTACAGCAGCAAAGCACTGACACACATCCCAAATTGCAAGGCTTGGATGACAGCCCTTCATAGGTCTGGACTATACTCACAATGTCATAAGATGTAGTTTGGTTTACTGCTCTATTTTCATCTGAACTACATGGATTAGCTCAAAAGGAGACTGGTAGGAAGAACCAGCAGAAAAACAAAATAAGAACAAAAATATAACAATACCTCCAGAGACTATCAATGATCATTAAGGGAAAGGAAGGGGAGTAGATTATTAATTGGGAAATGCTCACTACTCTGAGTCTTGCCAGATTAACAGGATTTATTTTGCCCAGGGCAGAATCTAGGGACACTAAACCCTTTCTTAAAAAGAGGAAGCAGAACTAGAAGAAAGACTGAGAGAAATGCAAAGATGCTGCAATTCATAATACCACTATCACCTACCTCATTCATAGCATTTTTCATCAGTACATAACTTTACAAAAGAAGTCAGTATCATTATCCTCCATTTTACACAGGTGACTTGACTTGCCCAAGGTTACTAAGGCCCTGAGCCCCAGTCCAGTTTTTTAACCATTGGGCTGAGTGCACCTTATAACTGTAAAAGCAAGCATTATTTTATTCTAAGATGATGCCCTGGATGTTTTTAAAGAGACAGCTACCACATTCATCCATAATCTCTGTAATACTACAGCACAGAGTTCTCTCTACAGTTCAACTTCTTTTGTCTGTCAGCTGGCAGTCACTTAATTTAGCACAAACTAGGTTATGTACTTACCAGGAAGCATCAATAAATTGGCAACTCACTCAAAGACCATCAGAATAGTTAACACTGAAAATAAAAACTAAACCACAAGCATCTCTTAAAAGACTTTGCACTATACACATGACTATACCATGCAACAATCTGGAAGCTTAGGCCAGCACAGACTATGGCCGTTTCTTCATTAAACAAGAAATCACACAGAATACTTTTCTCTGGTGCCCCATAATGCGCTCTGGCTGACTAATAGTTTCTGGATATAATTTAAGGTATTCATTTTAATATATAAACATGAAACTGTTTAAGATCTGGTTACTTAGGACATGGGCCCTCTTGCTGCATCTGAAACAGCATCCCAGGCAATTAGTGGAAACAATAGAGCTCCTATTCTCTCAAGATATATTTCCAAAGGGAATAGTTAGAAAGCTCCTAGCAGGGCATTTTCTAATGAAGAATTCCAAATATGCATTTCCTTCTTACTCTGTCAGAACATGAATTATTATCTTTCTAGTAACACTGAACAATTCATATTTCATTTCTTGCCTTTTAGAGGTGAGGCAAGACTCCTGGATTATATACAAAGGATAATAAAGGTTATTGCGGTTGGAAGTATCTGCTATTCTATGATGGTTTATATGGTCAATCTATTTAATCTTTACACATAGTAAGTCTTATATGTTAAAATTTTAAAGATGATGTAGATGATCAGTAGCCTATGAACTATAGCAATATTTCTGAGAAACAGAGATATATATTATTAACCAATCACAGTAAGTCACTGACAGGGCTCATAATGAGGCTTAATTAGACGTCTGACCGGGACAGGGTTCATACCTGTCTTCATAGTTTTTGTACAAATTTAGTCTATATCAGTTATGGGTGTAATTTTCTGTTTCATTAAAAACATTGTTAAAGTAATACAAGCACTAGTGGGCTGCAATTACACTCATATAGCTTATTCCCTTCAACATATATATCAGTAGTCCCCAACCTTTTGGGGCTGTGTACGCGCCCGGGGGCAGATCATCATATAGTTTGCAATAGTACTTTTCATCATTCTTACCTTTTCACAGAAAAAAAATGTCACATTCCAGTGGGACAGGAGATAAGCCGCCCATACGCCGCGTGCCGAGGGCCGAACAGTCAATGCGCTGCATGCCTGGGGCCGGCGTCGCTCCTGTGCCATATACCCAGGGGTGGGGATGCGCATACGCTGCGCACCCAGGGGCCAGCACCACCCGCACACCCGGGGGTGGGGCCAGCTCCGATCACTCTGTGGGCGCACAAATGGTCCGGCGGGCACCGTAGTGCCCACAGGCACCGCTTTGAGGACCACTGAATATATAAGCTACACTAGTTTAACTGCATGCTGTGTCTCAGCTATACTGGTTTGCAACCTTTTTTACTTAAACCAGCACAGAAAATGTGTGCAAACAATTCCTCGTATGGGCATCATACTTTACAAAAGAAAGACCCAAGTAGCAGTAGTTTTTATTTATTTTGTAAAAAGTCTTTTAGTTAGTCCCTAAATGCACAAAATACAAATTCACAATACTATATCCCAATAATTCTCAAATTTCTATAGCTAAAAGATCCTTGAATGTTGACTTTCCGCAATCCTCAAAAATACTCCACAGTTATATACCTTCACATACCGTGGATCAAACTACTTTACAGAAGTGGGGATGTATTCCCCCCTCTCCTATTTTGCAGATAAGGAAGTGAAAGAGAAATGTGAAAACTTTCAAGGTCACGAAATGAATCAAGAGTAAAAAAATATAATATTGGAATCTTGACTGTCAATCCCCTCCTCTAACATGCTTTTAGCACTTACCTACAGATTCATCTTTACATACTTCAACTTTGGCCTTAACTTGTCCTAAGGCTCCTGGTGCTGCATCACACCCTGAAGGTTCTCTCTCTTCTAAAGGTCCAGAATCAGCAGCAGTAGAGTCTGGTTCCTCTGTTTGGCATTCCAGATCCAAAGACTTGTCTATGTGTTTTATTGGTGATACTTCCCCATTTGGGGTGATGTCATTGTTTTGTTCCCTTTCCTCATTGTCCTTCATTTTCTTGTAATGCAGACAGGGAATGCTACTCAAAGGAGGATCATGTTTCTGTAAGTACAATTATACAAGCATGTATAAATTCAGAGACAATAAAACTACAAAAAGATTAATCTAGTCAGTTTCAAGATGTATTCGAAATAGTTGTGATACTAGAAATCTACAGGAGCTTTCAGGGGATAGCCGAGTTTGTTTTTTTCCCCCCCTATAAAAGACTAACAAAAAAACCCAACCAAACCAAACCGGTCTGGTAGCACTTTATAGACTGCTTTCGTGGGCACAGCCCACTTCTTCAGATGACCCAAGTTATGAATTGGGGACATGAAAACTCGAAATACATATCTGAGTTTTCATATCCCCAACTCATAATTCTGGTCATCTGTAGAGGTGGGCTGTGCGCACGAAAGCTCATGATACCATCTACATATTTTGTTAGTCTATAAAGTGCTACCAGACCATTTGTTTTTTCCTAGAAATCTACAGTAACCCTCTTCATGAATCCCCCTGACATTTCTAAAGACTCATTTTCTTATTTTTAAGTGCACCTCTCCCCACTGCTGCTCTATACAGAAAGCAAGTCAATAAAAAGAGTAACTAAGGGAAAGGAGAAACAACAATAAAACAGACTAAAAAATGCTATAAATGAACAGTTGCAGGCAGTGTTATGATTGTGTCAGTTCCAGAATATTAGACCAGCGAAGTACCATCTGAAATTCAGTGTTGATAAAAAGCAAAGTAATTTACACTGGAAAACAATCTCAGCTATACATATAAAATTATCGGTCTAAATTAGTTGTTACCACTCAAGAAAAAGATGTTGGAAGTCATTGTGGATATTTCTCTGAAAACATTCAAGGTCCAGTGGCACTCAGGAAAAAAACCAACAATTTTGGGAATTAACAACAAAGAGAGCTATAAGAACACAGAAAATACCATACTGCCTTTATAAAGTCATGGCACATTCCAGATCTTGAGTACTTAGTGCAGATATGACCATCCCATCTCAAAAAAAGATATATTGGAGGAGGGAAAGGAACAAAAAAGGGAAACAAAAATGATTAGGGATAAAGAACAGCTTCCATATGGAGGAAAGATAAATAAGACAAGGACTTTTCAGCGTGGAAAAGAGACAAGGAGAAATATAATAGAGGTCTATAAAGTTATGACAGGTATGGAGGAGTTAAAGAAGCAAGTGTTAACTATGCCTCCTAGTAACACAAGAACTGGTATCACCAAATGAAATTAATATAGCAGATTTTAAACAAAGAAGAAGAAATATTTTTCAGAGAAAGCACAGTTAACCTATGCAAACTCTGTCAGAGGATACTGTGAAGGCCAAGATTATAACAGTGTTCAAAAGGAATTGGATAATTTCATGAAGGACAGGTCCATCAATGGCTAACAGACAGGATGGGCAGGGATGCAACACCATGTCCTGAAGTATCCCTAGTCTCTGGTGCCAAAAGCTAGGAATAAGCGATGGGGTATGAATCACTTGTGGATTACCTGCTTTGTTCATTCCCTAAAGTGCCTAGCATTGGCCACTGTCAGAAGACAGATACTAGGCTAGATGGATGATTGGCATGACCCAGTGTGGCTGTTATTACGTTCTTATTGGATAAACTTCTATTGGAGCAAGACTTGTCTCTCTCACCAACGGAAGTTGGTCCAATAATACATAGTACTTCATTCAGACTAAAACAGATAAGAAAGTTTCTTATAACTTTCAATACAAGAAAGTAATTCTCTTTAGGCTCCTAAACTTCACTCATCCCCACAGCACCTTAGGTGTTAAAAAATAACTAGGGGGCTATGCCCCCTGCTTGCTATGCTCACCAACCCTCCTCTCTCTGGGGGTAAGCAGCCCTGGCTCTCCCCCTGGCTGCCAGAGAAGGCCCCTGCTCCCTACCCCATGAGCCAGGACCCCTTCTCCCTCCCCCTACAAACCCTCCCTTCTCCGGGCTGCGGAATGCGCTAGGCCCCGGTCAGGGAGATGAAGGGGTGCCTGCCAGCCCCATGTGAGACGAAGTGAGGCCAGGATGGTAAGGAATGGTGTCCCTAGCCTCTGTTTGTCAGAGGGTGGAGATGGATGGCGGGAAAGAGATCGCCTGATCATTACTTGCTCGGTTCACTCCCTCTGGGGCATCTGGCACTGACACTGGGCTGGATGGACCTTTGGTCTGACCCAGTATGGCCATTCTTATATGTAGGTAGTACTGTGTGCATACAGTGCTCTGGGGGATTGCAGACTGCTGAGGTGGGGAAAGCAGCAGCAGAGGCGTTCACTGTCCTGACCTCTCCACCATGTGGTCCTGCATATGCTGCTCACTGTCCAGCCCTGCCTTCAGAGCCCAGGGCCGCCCGCTGGGAGCAGAAGGTAAGGAGCAGACAGGTTGGTGCAGCAGCTCCCCCAGGCAGCTCAGGGGTGCTCTGGCAGCCATAAGTGCAGCTGCTGGGAACAGGGTGAGTCTCCATGGAGGCAGCTGGACTGCAGGCAGTCAGGCACCATGCTCTGGCTCCCCAAAACCCTGGCAGCAGGGGAGCCCCCCCTCAAGAACCCATATCTGGCATTTAAGCCTGGCTGGGAGCCCTCGCTTCTAGCACCTGCCCCTAGGCTGCTGTCCCAAGCACCATACCCTCTCCCCCTGCTCCTGGGCTGTCACAGCTGTGATGTTGAGTCTGCCAGCTACTATTCTATGTTTCTTGACATTGAAAGCCCTATGGGATGGGGTGGAGGAAGGAAAGGGGAGTAGGGACTTGGTTTAAAATAGTAATCCTAAGTGGTGAGGGTGAGCAGTGAGGTCGAGCTCAAGCTGGGAGAGGGAGGAGGCAGGCAGGATGCAGAGTAACATGGTGACATCACTCTGTCGTCTCACAGGAAGTTTTTTGTTTAATATATAGAGAGACAACAGGTATAACTATTTTTTCCCCACTATTCCATCTCCAGATGAAAGCTCCAATTTTAAAATAATTTAGGCTGAAAAGTCAAAGTTTTGTTAAATTACAAATATAAATAAAATAAATATATACACACACACACACAAAACTCAACCGATATGCTTTCAGATAATACAGTGAATGTTTAAATTTGAACTCAAAGGAAATTCAAGTTTTGCAGATTCCTATTATAATTAGTGGGAGTTCTGCTGCAGATCATAGATAACACGTCTGCCTGAAATTCCATGAACAAGCCATAATTTAAATCAGCGATGGGCAACCAAAGCTAGCGAATGGGGCACATAAAAGGCCTTCTGTCTCAGTGCACCACAAGATTGTAATCAAAACAGTCCCCCAGGATAGGGCAGTTTTGCTAAGTGCACTTGTGTACCTAGAATTTGCGGAGTATGCCAACTGAACCATAGCAGTGCTCTGATTGGATGCAGAGGGAGCACACAATTCTCGGTCAATGTCGTGTGCAATCAGTTTTACGAGCATGTCACTTGAGTAAGACTGTCCTATGCCAACAGAAACCTGGAGAATATGGCCATCATGCACATGAGCAGGGCTCAACAATTAGTGTAATCTACTCACCCATAGTGAGTAGATTATAAGCTGGCACAGCCATGCAGCGTGGTCTGCGCACGTGCAGCATGCCGAACTGGGCAGCTGGCCAGTGGGGCACACCACCGCTTGGCGAGCCCTGCACATGAGCAACAGTAAACAAAATATATCATGGGCCACAAATAGAACATCAGTGAGCCACACGCAGCTTATGCAACAGAGGTTGCCCATCACTGATTTAAACTATAATTAGACCCTCTAAATAGAATGAACACTTAAAATTTAGATTAACCTCTGCAGTGTTATGAAATAATTTTATAGTGTTGTGATAGAATAAGAGAAGCAGAAAATAAGGGAAGCAGAAAATAAGACTGACTATATTTTCATGTGTTAACCAGCAGGCTAGAGCTTGCAAAGCAAGAGTGAGCAGCTCCAAGGACTGTCACCAGTGGCTGGAAGGAATTGGGCAAGTGGGTTGGTAGTGGCATATGACCACCATAGTAGCACTACTCCAGGGGACTCCAAATCTAATTCAACAGGTACTGCTAAGGAAAATTTTCTGATGATCATGAATATGGCCCTCTAACACATCTATCAAGTCAACATGAGCTAGTACTTGAAAAAGAAGAAACTGTTTTTGTAATGTGTTAGAATACAGAAAAGTTTGTTTTTCAAACAGTTGTTCCCATCTGGTCAAATCCCTTTAAATATAATCTGAAAGGTTTGAAAACTTCCCCAATGTATAATTCCAAAACTGTTTTGGCCAATTATTAAAAAAAACCAAACCAAACCAAAAACCACATGAATGATACCTAATAACTGAATTATTTAAAAGTATAATTAGCATCGTAGAGTCCTACCCTTATGCTTCCAGTTCCCAAGAAATAAGGTCTGGACCAGGTAACAACTCTGGATTCTCTGTGCAGATATACAGGAATGCATCCATCAGGCAATGGTTCCGTAGGAGGACGGCCACGACCTTTATGAGAGGAAACAAACAAACTCATGCACAATTTTTAAGCTAATTTCTGATTCTATATCCTAAGAACTTTCTTCACCTGAAACTTCATTACAAAAACTAAGAAATGCTATGGGTACCTCCATGGATATTATCCCATTATGTTTACATCTAAAAAATATGAATGGGTTATATTTGTACATTGTGTTAGGTAGAAACCACTAATTTGGAAATATCTATGGATTATCTCCCCAGATTTATATAAAAACTATTACTATACTTTTTCTAATACAAATTAAATCATTTTAATTCATTAGTTCAGTACTATTTCCCTTTTATTTATAGTGGTAAGCCAGTATGCAGTCTATGAAGCCCTAAAATAAAACCAATATAACTTGTGGAAAACCATGAAATATTCTCTTTTAAGAGTTTTATTAGACAATCTTTCTATAAAGCAGCCACTGTTTTTGTCTGTCTGTCATGGGATTTTCAACTTACCGGTCCTGTGCACGTGCCAACACAGCCTGGCTCAGTGCAGCGCCGCATGGAGAGAGGAGTAGAGACAGTGGGAGGTGAGCCCACAGAACACAGGGAGAGCGGAGGGAAAGGGGAAGGAGGGAACTAAGCCATCAGAGCATGGGGAGAGGAGATGGAGGGGGCTGAGCCCCCAGAGCACCAGGGTGGAAGCAGTGCTGCCCCCGAGCCAGGATGGACAGCTTTTTCCCACTGCCCCGACTGCTGGGTGGGCAGTTTTTACCTTGCAGTTTTTACTAGTGAAAACACACTACATTTAAGACCAAAAAGACAAATATTTTATATATATAAAAAAATCTTTAAAAAAAGACAATCTGTCCAAAAGCACACCAAAAGACTAAAAATAAAGCTTTCAGCTAGCAATTTAGGAGAAGTACGTGCCTATCCATCTTTCTCCTAAATTGGTAGCTGAAAACTTTATTTTTAGTATTTTGGAAAGATTGTCTTTTTTTTAAAGTTTTTAAATAAATATATATATATATATATATATATTTGCTAGCATTTAAGAAATAGAGCAATAGCCATTGTAACCATATGATTTATAAGCTTCTTTAATAA